CAGTAATATTTTCTTCACAAGTTGCTTCAATATTGGGGAGGGGGGGCACAGCCCCCAGGATGCTACATAACTCCGCCGTTGAACCCGTTGACAATGGTTCCCACGTGTAAGAAGAATTTAGACATATTAATAACATTGGAAAAATTAAACATGATAAAGCACGCTAAGGTCTCTCTAAATAAACCTGCTCTCTCCGTATCAAAATGTAAGACGTTTTTGCACTTCAAACTCTTTTATTTTGATACTTACTACGGAGCAATGTTGCGGAGGCTTAGAATTTAGGAAATTCGTTCGAGTTGCTCCTAGTTAAGCCCGCTTGCGGCTGGCCGACCTCGGATTTTGCTTCCTACTCCATCCACTCGACGCCCCGGAGAGCGTCACGACAGCGACCACTGGCTCAACCCCGCACGCACACACAAAATAATGGGAGAGACTAACCGTAGTGTAGACGTGTAGTGCCGCAGAGAGCGTCCACGTCCGGCCCGCGAGCAAGCGTCCGCCTCAAACCCGATCCTGCCCCAACCAGACAACCAACCGCCACTCGCCACCGCTGCCCATGCCGCCAATCCAGAACCATCCGTCCATCCGTGGACTCGTGGAGCGCAAACACGAGCTCCCTCCCTCCCTTCCTCCCAGCCACCCTCCGGTTCAATCAAGGCCGGTTGACCCCGACGCCAACGGCAAAGAAAGATAGAGAGACGGTCGACGATCGACGACGGGCGGCGTGGGCTCGGCAGCTTGCGGTGCGCGCGATAAGCCCGGCTGACCCGACCGTGACGCGTCCTCTGGCCCGTAGCCACGCCCGTGCCGACCCGATCGGTTTCGCGATCCTTTATCTATCTATCGCCGCACCGCCGCCGCGTACCCTCCGGATTCGGCTGGTCGCTGGCTCGGCGGCGTGTGCGTCTGCGTGTTCCTTCATCCGCCGCCGCTGGCCGGGAGGTCCATCCATCCAACGGAACAAAACGTGTGCTCGAGGCTGGAAGGCATCTCATCGCCGCGTGGCCGTGGCCGTACGCGACAATTGCTAAAGAAACCCCTTCCGTCACGCCACATCGGGAACCCCGACGGACTAATCGGGCGCCACCTAAGCAAGCAATTATGTTAGGGAAAGACACACACGACCAGCTGTTGTCGACCATTCGAAAAGAAAAATGGCTCACTCACAAAGCCGATGCGCCAGAATGGACCAAAGGCCCTTTCGGTGCGGCATGCCCGGACCCTGCGACCCTGCGGCCGCAAAGGGTCAGAGCCTAGGAAGAGCCGTCCAAGAAATGGAACGGAACGCCCTCAAAAAAAAAATGGAACGGAACGGGATACTTGCGGCCGGTAGTTTTAGATTTAGATTTTTTTATTTTTAGATTTAGATTTCGAGCGAATAAAGTTTCGGGGGACGATGAATATTTCGCCGGGCCGGGGCGGGACGGGACGGGAGCCAGAAATCTAGGGGGAGGGGTGAAACGGAATCTGAGAGGATAGAGTAGGATGGCGCAGGCAGTGGCCTCATCCTCAGGCTCGGATGGGCCGGGCTGAGCCGACCGGTCCCCGGGCCACCGAGAAATATTCCTGATAGACTGATCCAGTGATCGATCTCTGAATGTGATGGCCTTTTTCCCGTAGTGGGGATCCGCGGGGCCCGCCGGCGAAAGATCTAGAAACAGTGCGAGCTTTCCCGTTGTCTGCCCATGCCCAGAGAACTCATCAATCAGTGTATAGTACGTACCTTCCGTAGTATAGCGAGTGAAGCGACGTAAACGGTAAATTTCTCCGAATACAAAAATATACTAGATTTTGCATAGAGTATGGTATTCAAGTTGAAATGGACTCCTTCAGTTTAAGCATGATTGGGTTTCAAAAGGGTTTTTGAATATGATTAACGTCTCTCTCCTTTCAAGTTTGAATCACACCGATAAAGAAAGTGGGTCCCTGGGGAGACCGGCGGCGGGTCCCAGCGTGCTGCTGGTAGTGGATAGGGCCAACCAGCCACCTCCCCTCCCCTGGACGAGACTTGCCTGCTCCCCTCCCGTGTGCCCATCCGTGCTTCCGCATACGTGGCTTGATTTGATTGAAACAAAATAAGGCCGGCCCTATCCCTTAAAATCAGGGGGGAGATGATTAGATTAGAAAAAAAAAAGAAAAAAAGACAGCCGTTGGATGAGGTGGGAGCACGGATGGGAGCACGGAAAGGGAGCAGGCAAGCCGGATCCCCCCCTCCCCCCACCAAGACCTTTCTTTTCCGAACGCCATCTGCGCCCTCCTCCAACGCCTCATTATCACCATTCATCCATCATCAACCCATCTATCTATCTGCTCCCATTTTTTTCTTCCCATCTATTTCTTTTTCAATATTTCCACTCGAAACACCTATTATTGAGAATTCAACTTTTTTTTTCAGTTTCATGGTATAATCTCTAAATGAAGCGCCTATTCATCATATACCTGGCAAAAAAAATGTCGTCAACCGAAAATTCAAAACGTCTAATCATCGACCAAGGACCACATCTTTCTCCATGCGCCGTCCTCCAACCCATCCCTAACAGTTGACAGCCGCCCTAGGCGACCGCATCGCTCCCCCTCCTCCTCGCCCTGCGCCGCCCTCCCCTTGTTGCAGCCCATCGTCTGCCGTTGTCACCAGGGACATACCTCTAGCTCTACCTCTCCCTTCCCCCAACCTCTTGTTCTTCGATGCTAACAGACTTTTCACATGTCAAGCTGCTTCCTCGCCTCCACCTGGGATGTCACAGCTTGCTGCTGCTCGAAGCACCGCCTCGTCTTCAGCTAGGTCCTAACTCGGCTCGTCAGGGTCAACGCTCGTCGCTGGCGCTCCTCACATCATCCCATTTCTGGGGTTGTCCGAAAATCGAACGGTGCACGCGAAATTTATGGGGAATGTGAAGATTCATCCAACAACCACCAACCCAAATCCCAATGTTCATCTTCTTGCCCCTCTTCGTCTTCCTCGTGTCGTCGCCCTCCAACCCAGCCCTAACCGTCGCCCTCCCCCCCCTCCCTTCCCCTTTCGCAATCACGTCACCACTCTGCCCTTCCATCGCCGCAGTGCACCGTCATGCCCTGTCGCCCAAGGCCATCTCTGCTCCCCACCCCCACGCCACTTTCCTGTTTTCCGACATCAACATATCCACACCTGCACCCATCAACCCGCTTCCTCGCCTACCTAGGACGTCGCAGTTTGCTACCGCTCCCAGCGTCACCCCCATCTCCCGGCGAGGTCCTGGCTCAGCCTCGCCGGCATCAACGCTCGTCGCCGGCGCTCCGCACATAGCCCCCATCTTCGACCTCATCCCAAAATCGACCAGCGCGCGCAAAATTCATGGGTAAATTACGATTGGCAAATAGAATCAATAGAAAAATTGTACTACAATATTGGAAATATGTATAGAATAGGCTCATAAAACTGTTCCTCCATGCCTCATTTGTGTAGCCTTTCCCTCTCCCTTTGTCTCCTCCACTTTCTTTATTCCCAAGCATTTCCTTTCTATCTATCCTCCCCTCAAAGCCCTCAAGCAACCATGGAAGCAAAAACAAAGCAAAAGCAAAGCAGCCACAGGTTGCACGGCCGTAGCCTGCCCTCCCGTTATAAAACCGAGGGGGGCGAGGCCGCAGGACAAAAGCTCCTCACCCCTCTCCCTCTCCCCCTCACAGCTTCCCCAAAGCTTACCTTTCCCCACACCCAGACCTCACCAGCTTGCTCCGCGGTCTTCTTCTTGCTTGGTACCCCGGTCGCCTCTTGCTTCCTCGAGCCCCTCTCCTCCTCGCCCCAGCTTCTCTCTCTGAACCATCCCGGTCCGCGGCCACAGGGGGTTCTTGGATTGCCGGAGAAGAGCCATGCTTCACGGCGGCAGGCCGCTGTCCCTCAGGGGCTCCCTCAAGGCCCTCGAAGCCGATATCCACCACGCCAACACCCTGTAAGCAAATCCTCTCCTTCCCCTCCATGATTTTCTTGATTCTGGGTGTTGCTCTCTTTCTGTACTTGATTTTTCCTGGGAAAAAGGAGTGGAAAGGGAAAGGTTCCCCTTTTGGTTCCTGGCTGTTTTTGGTCCCTGTTTTGACATGTTTGATGCAATTTGCGGGGGTGTTAAATCCATGTCCGCAGGCATGTTTTGATGAATCGGCGCTTCTTTTTTCAGGGCGCATGCTATCCACAGGGCCTACGGGGGCACCTGCGTGCAGATGAGGCTGTCCTACAGCACCATGGCTCCAATCATCCTCAACCTTATCCAGTGGATGGACTGCAGCTGCTCCCTCTCCTACACCCTCCCCAGCTACCTGGGCCTCCTCGAGGTTCTTGTCTACAAGGTATTGTTTCATTCAGTCCTGCTGCAGGCCCTCAAATTTCTTAGCTGAATTTTATCTCCAGATTATTATTATTGTTATCTTTTTGCTACATGATAATGATGTTTTTAGATGCTTTGGTCTCACTGCAGGTTTATGTTGATGGGGATGCGTCCATATCCACCATCGAAAGGCGAGCGAGCCTCAAAGAATTCTACGGTATGCATAGCAGGCACATAGCTGGGGAAAATTCTTCAGTTTCAGGCCTTCTTCATGCACTGACACCGTGTGCTTCTTTCTGACGTGCCATGGAATGCAGCCATAATATACCCCTACTTGCAACAAATTGAGGAGAACGTCATGGCGAAGGAGTGCAAGGAGAAAGGGTGGTGCAAGGGGGACGGCGACAGCGGCGGCCGCCGGAAGCTTTACGCCGATGATAAGGACGCCGAGAGGGAAGACGAGTGCGGCATTTGCCTGGAGACCTGCACCAAGATGGTCCTTCCCAACTGCAACCATGCCATGTGCATCAACTGTTACCGAGACTGGTAATTGCCCCCTGGTTCCCCTTGCTTATCCGTTTGAGGCATTCTTAATTAGCACCATATATGTTGTTTATCATTTATAGTCCCCACGTCACACGCTAATGTTAAAAATTGCCAGTGGTTGAAAGAGCCTCGAGATAAGGTCAATTTAAGAGATAAATATGCGAGGAATCGCATGAGCGGCGACAGCTTTGGAATCATGGGTTCTAACAATGCATTTGTATTGTGCGAAGGAGTTATTGGTGCAGTTCCTTTTCAACCTTGGCGCTGTTTGTGAGCTGCTCCTACTCAACTCAGTGTTGGTAGGGGTAGGGAGGGAGTAGTTCAACAACCCAACAGTAGTCTTTGATGCACACAATTGTGCATTTTATTGCTCTACAACTCCATTTAGCCCTACTTAAGCTACATTCTCTCCAAAATATTCAAAATTCACACCAAACAAAAATGTTATCGCTGATTCACTGTTGTTTGAAAGAACTGCAATCTGTTCAGATTGTTTTGCTTTGCTTGCACTGAACGCTCGATTAGTTGGCTGGAAGCTGGAAGTTGCAGTGTTTCTTATTGGCCTTCTACTGTCAACTATAGGAGAGATTACATATAATCCAACCATTCCAACTTTATGCCGTACTCAAGAGACACATTCGGTTATCCCTTTAATTAGGCACTGTATTTATGTTTGAGTTTAATGGGCAGTTGTGGTACTTCATAGTACCATTCTTAAAGCCCTGCTGTTTGTCACACTAAATACAACGGACTATATTTTATCAGTGGTATGGAAATGAGACAACCTGGAAGCTGCGTCCATAAATAAAAACCAGTAGCAGTACTGCATTACCAGTGGCAATTGTCAATAGCACAACACGAACTTGAAGGGATAAGCGCAAGGGGGCGTGGGGGATATTTAAATGTGACATTCTAATAATGCTAATTATGTTTCCTTAGCTGGCAGATCATACTTGTGTACCAAGGCAAGTGTTATCCGCAAGGCGTCGTGTGTGTCATAGGTTTTGCACATGGCAAGTTGTCGTTATAATGATAATGAACTGGCTGCTTCAGTACAATGTTGGGAGCAGTCAATGGCTTCTCTAACAGCATTACTTCAGACAAGATGCAGTTTGCTGCAATTGTATCTGTAGATACTTTTGGTAACTGGTCTATCGCTATTAGCCTTGCAGTGGCCCGACGCAGAAAATTGTCAAGTTAAGGGAAGAAGGTTCCGTTAACTCGATTCCTTTTGATCAAAGCTAATTTTGCAATGTAGGCAACTGGATGAGGTTATGTACAATAGTGTGGTCTATTTTCTGTTTCTGAACTCTATTCGAACAACGTTCAGTCGATTTTGTTGTTGCGCTTTCTATTTGCTGCTGCAAGTGCCATCAAGCCACACCTCTAATGTGCATCATGGTTACAGGTACACAAGATCTCAGTCCTGCCCATTCTGCCGCGGAAGCCTGAAGCGAGTCCAGTCCAGGGATCTGTGGGTGCTCACCGGCGACGAGGACGTGATCGACCCCGTGACCCTGGAGAAGGAGAATGTGAGGCACTTCCACAGCTTCATCGACAGCCTGCCCCTCATCGTCCCTGACAACCTCCTGCTGGTCTACTATGACTACCTAGTCTAGCGACGCTCCAGCGCCAGCTCCGGCTCGGCGTGGAGATAGCGATGATGTACTACAGTGCAAGGGTTCTCCGGCAGCCGACCATCCTCCGCAGATCGAGTCTGGCAAGCGAAAGCCGAAGCCGTCAGTCAGTCCGTTTGCCAAGCGCCATTATTTGTTGCTCTGGCTTTGCGCAATCGCATTGGTGTGGTAATAAGTGTACAGAAAAAGAAGTGTTTGATGGATCCTGATGAAGGTTTTTACTTGTTTGGTATCGATGCTATGGCAAATTGCCAAGCTATAATTAAAAAAGAACAGTTTCTGGGTAATGAGTCAATCTGTGTGTGTGTGTGTCACCACCATTGGTAGAAAAGGAGCCCTTCATGATTCTGCTACTGCTTCTTCCCTTTGTGGTTGTGTTATGTTGTGCAGCACAGTTTTTCTGGTACCAGTTCAAAATTTGTGTGGTAGTTCAAAATTTATAGACCACATCACAAGTTCATAATAGGTACTCCCTCCGATCCGATCCACAATAATAAGTGTCGTGGTTTTGGTTCAAAAAACTAGAGTTTGTAGTTTGAACTAAAACCACGGCACTTGTTATGGATTCAAGTTTGGGTCATGAAGTGCCCCAGAAACCCGAAGAAAGCGAACGAATGATTTCGAAATGGTCAGAGAAGCACTGCTTCAGTGAGCACCCTGTCAAACTTAAAACTTATGTCCGTGAACTTGCAAATTGTGAAAGTACGCCCCATCAGTTCCGTACCGGTCAACTTTTTACGGCCATTGAAATTGAGACTAAGTGCAGATTGTTGTGAATGTACACGTAAGCGCTGATGATGACCCAACGAAACTTTTCAACTTCAGCGCTGCTCTCGCTCTAGGTTGGATGATCTCATCAATCAGAAGGCAGTCAAGTCTGCCAAGTAAGAAACTACTCAGTCGTTCAATCAGAACAAACTGTTCTGTTGACTCAACTAGTTTGTATTACCTCCATCCAGAATTAGTTGTCTCAGATACGTAATATCTAAAAATAATTTGAGACGAAGGGAGTATTATTCAACCGTCCAAGCGGAACTAAAAATAAATAAAGTGCTGCAAACAAAAAAAGCTGACTCTACCATCGTAAGCATCAAATACCTGCTGCCTAGTTAGCCAACTATCGCCCGTGCAGAAGGCACACAGGAAACCTTGCAATCTAGGGCTCGCTTTCATGAGCATACACGAAATTCCAAGTTTGGTTTCTGATTGCAGTTCAAGATTTATGCACCACCCCAGAAGTTTAAGTTTGAGATAGCAGTGTCAGGTGTCAGTTGCTGCCATTGAAGCTGCAAACTTGGATATGAAATCGGAAACTTACTAAGCTGTTTGACGAGATAAACTAGTATTGCATTATTCAATCGTGCGTCAAAAAGGTGCTGCTGACTGGTTACAGGAGCATAGAACAAAAACCTGATATAAAAACCTTGATTTCATAAGCATACACGAAATTTGAAGTTCTGATTTCTGCTCAAGAGAAAACTGAAAGAGTACTCCAGCCTAGTGTAACAAAACTGAGCAATCTCAATTTCATGAGCATGCACGAAAGTGCAAGAGAAAACTGAGGTTACTTCAGCCAAGTGAAGCAACGAATGAAATTAAGCGATGTTGCTTCAGCTGAAGCAACAAAAGAAAAATTAAGCGATGCAACACAATCGAAATAGAGCAACTCAAGACATGTACTCAGCATATAACAGGTTTTACCCATTGTATAAGCAGCAAAATTACACGACCATAGTAGAACAAAAACCACCGCTCCGATTTACGATACGCAGCACCCGAGTAACAGGGTATTCGACTCCAAAAACGAAACTACCTAAGCTATTTTGAGAGCACAAGTTCCATACTAGGTTCGATATCCGAAGGATATATCAAGACTCTGAAAACCAAACGATAATACTGGTAAGCAGGACACCCAAACAGGCCACCGCACCGAAGGCAGATCAGTACTTGTAGTCCTTGACGTGGAGGCTCTCAGAGGCCCCCTCGCCGAGGGTGGCATCGCCCTTGTAGGTGCCGAGGGTGGCCTCAGAGTTGGCCTTGCACCTCACCAGGAACGCCTTCCTGGCCTTCTCCTCGTTCTCCACCTTGCCAGCCCAGGCCTTGAGGGTGCTCTGCTGGAGGGCACGCCCGAAGGAGAAGGACAGGTTCCATGGCTTCTTGGTCTCGAGCTTGTTCATGGCGTTCAGGTTCAGGGTCGCCTCCTCCTCGCTCTGTCCACCAGAGAGGAAGACAATGGCTGGGACGGCAGCAGGGACAGTCCTCTGGAGGGTGCGGACGGTGTACTCAGCAATCACCTCAGGGGCCACCTTCTTGGCGTCGGATCCAGGGGTGACCATGTTGGGCTTCAGGAGGGTGCCCTCAAGGAGGACATGCTGGTCGTTGAGGGCCTTGTAGCACGCAGCAAGGACCATCTCAGTCACGTAAGCACAGCGGTCAATGTCATGAGGTCCATCAACAAGGATCTCAGGCTCAACAATGGGCACCAGCCCATTCTCCTGGCAGATGATGGCATAGCGAGCCAGACCCTGAGCATTCTGGTCGATGGAAAGCTGTGATGGCTCGGTGGGGCCAATCTTGAGGACGGCACGCCACTTGGCAAAGCGGGCACCAGCCTCGTAGTACTTGGCACAGCGCTTGCCAAGGTCATCAAAGCCCTGGGTGGTGGTCTCACCGTTGGTTCCAGCGAGCTCGACGGTACCCTTGTCCACCTTGATGCCAGGGAGGACGTTGCCCTCCTTGAGGATGTCAACGAAGGGCTTGCCACCCTTGGTGCTCTGGTACAGTGTCTCCTCAAAGAGGATCACACCACTGAGGTACTGGAGGGCTCCAGGGGTGCAGAAGAGGAGCTCACGGAGGGCACGGCGGTTGTCCTCAACATTCTCAACATTGATGCTGGCAAAGCGCTTGCCGATGGTGCCGGTGGACTCGTCGGCAGCAAGGATACCCTTGCCGGGGGTGCCAATGTAGGCAGCGTTCTTGATGAGCTCATCTGCAGGATAACCACCATCAGTATTAAGATGAATTGCCATAACTATTCAGATTGTGCTAAAATCTAGAAAACTGCACAAGTTGAGAGTAGCCATTAACAGCTTTAGCTAACAACAGATGCACAACAAACTGACTAGCATGATTCTGACAACTGATTATGAATTTTTTACAATTTCTCAAAGATGTATCTGCACAACAGCACAAGGTGGCTAACACGGCCAGGGGCAACAAAGAATTAACATGGCAGCAGAGCAATCAGTACAGCTTGCAACTATATAAGCACAGGATATAGCTTAGCAAAAGAAGCCACTAGGATCTAAACAGAAATAGATTTACAGGGGCAATCTTCAAACAACCATAAAGCCATAGTAAACACTACAACGAACACAAACAGAATTATGTACAGATGGAGCAACGGAGTCCATCAACTTACCCAAAAAAAGTACTTGCAAAATAAGAAGGAACGCCAGTATCATCATTCATATAAAATAATCACTAGCATGGACCTAGCAGTAATCATCAGCATGCAGCCCATCACCCTGACGCGACCTAAATCCACCCAAAGGACTCGGATCTTACAGGCAGTGCCTAAATCCGCTCGAAAACAGCGTAACCGCTAGAACCAAGCAGATCAAAGCACGGCGCGTACGGACGGCACACACTACATCGGATTCGCGAGCAAAGGTAGATCTAAGCACGGCGAACAGGCAACGGATCTACACGCGAGGCAGATCAAAGCGCCGACGTATCGAGAGAACGACGAGGGAGGGGAT